GGCCTTTTCGCTTCATCTGCTCTGGGAGGACCTGCCGGCCTCAAGCTGTAGGATGGGTCAACCGAACACCTCAGCCACTCACATTCTAAACTCTCCAAGAGCGGCAGCAGGGAAGGCAGCGATAATGTTGGTGAAAATAACAATAGTTACCACTTAGAGCTTGTTTGGCACCTGATGTTTTCCGAGTGCCTTTCATGTATTAACTCATTTAAGCCACCAAGTGGGTGCCATCAGTCTCCCCTCCCTGAGAGAGGAGTGAGTTAGTGACGAGGTTAAGGACTTGCCCAAGGACAAGGAGCTGTGAGCCCGGCGGTGCGGCCCCAGAGCTGGAGCTCAGAACCGCCGCTCTGGGCTGCCTCAAGAAGAGCATCCTGAGGCTGGAGCGATCCAGCAGCTCTGGCCCAAATATCCCTCCCAAGCCGTGTGCCTTCAACAAACAAGCACAAGTTAGGAAATATTACCAAAAATAAGGGTGTGGGGTGTGTAGGGGGATCCCCTGGGAGGCGCCCCCTCCTGAGAGCGGTCAAAGCCCCCTTCACCCTAGGGGGCAGTTCCCTGAAAGGTGAACTCTGCTTTTCAGAGTCAGTTTTAACACGTCACTCCTGATTTTCATTCCCCCCAAAGGAAAGGTTTCTCTTAGAGCAATGGAATCCAAGAAGCATTGTCCCTTCATGTTCATTTCTGTTATACCATCACATGTAGCCTTGGCAGACTTGGAAAAACCTAATTTGATCAAACTTTTAAAACCCACAGGCTTTATGTCTTTATCATTCCTTTCTTTAGTAACATTTCTTCCCTTGTTACATAAAGCAGGCAGATCTCTAAAACTTGCCCTGAAAGGAGTTAAGTAAGCCTCAAATGGATTAAAAACTGGCAAAAGCTTTGATCTATATAATAAAACGTCTTGATGCAGCTCTGGCTCCAGAGGAACGGGAAAGAGACTTGAGACTTAGGCATTTAGTGAATTTCACTCAAAGCCTTACAAAGCTGCCCTGGGAGGCTGCAGAGTTCACAGCCACAGGGACACTTCTTAGATGCTGCAAAGCCCAGCTATGGCCCTGCTCCCCTCTCGTTGGAAATTTCTACTAGTTCAACAAAGGATAGTTCTGAGATAAGAGACTGCTAATGCATTAGAAAATAAAGCATACACACGTATTATTTACCTTCTTTAAGCCTGGCTCTCAGGAGGCTTATGTTACCTGATCATTTACCAGCTCGTTACAAGTCAGTTCCTAAAGAGGCAAAGAGCAAAGGGCAACCTAGAGCCTCCCAGAGCCAGAGGGAGCCAGGCAGCCCTGGAATGCCGTCGGGGCGAAGATCCTAGCTCTGCACCTTACACATAGATAATGCAGCTCTTTAAATTTCACATGTGGTTGAAAGAACTCTAGCTAGACCGTTTGCAAAGAATCTTTTCTAGTTTTACTCTTAGTGAACCAGAAATTCACTAAACCTAGGAGCCCTCAGATTCATCGATGTGTAGACACAATTAAGTGGTCACAGGTGATTTCGAAGTGCTGCTAGGTGGACTTCTGGATTTGCAAATAATTCTCTGGTCTATCTTTCTCTGAAATCGATGGGATGCTAAAGACTTGGAAATACGGACTTCACTGTTAGCTGAAATAGTGCTAGAGAGATTTGTTAGAGCTGCTAGTTGCAGTGCTAAAAAAAAAAAAACTCTCTGTATTTACATCAAATGTATACAACACAGAACTTGATTTCACTAAATATGTTCAAGAGCCACCTGATATAGCCATACACAGACAAAAGTAGATGCTATAGTCTATCAATCTTACAAAATATTTACTTCAAAACAAATATCACTCTCTTGAAAAGTTGTAATTATTTTCTCCCTTACTTTGTTCCTGAGCCTTTTGAGGAAGAATGTAAATCCAGTTTAAGTGGAAAGAGGCTCACTTGGAGAGGGATATTCTAGAAAACAAGTTGAATGCTTCCATGACAGGGAGGTTTTTCCCTTTTCTGCTCATGGACTATTCTTGCCTACCTAATTCATTCTTCTTTTCACCAGACTCCTGGGTACTAAATTTTCTGTCAAGGTGCCACAAAATACACATAAATCTTTACATCATAATTGTATTTAAACTCTCCACACATTTTAATCACCTTCTCACATGCACACATACACAAGTAGGCATAAATAATGTGTCTGTAACATGTCTTAAAAACCAAATCAGAGAACTTCCCTCCAGCAGAGAGCCTTTACTCTCAAAATACTGCCCAACAATATAAGTCTTCATTTTTCAAACACTTACTGAGTGCCTACTTGGAGTGGAAAGGAACAGAAAGAATAAAACATGAAGCTCAAAGAATCTGCCTCCTAGAGGTTAAGGCAAAAGGCAAAGATGTCACTACTTATGAGGAGGGGCGGCTCCCAGTAAGAATCCAGGGCGGGGCACACGCAGACGAGAAGCCACGAGGGGTAAGTGGGCCTGAAATGCAGCCACTGCCTCTCACTGTGGCAAGGGCTGTGACCATGCGGGGCCGGGCCCCCATTAACTGGCATGTGGGCATCTTTGGGCTGGAGGAGGACCTGTAAGGATCCAGAAGACCAGAAGGGCTTGGAGCGGGAGTCCTGATCTACTCCCCACCGGTTTCAGGCTGTGACCGTTAAGAACAGAAGACACGCAACATGAAATATGGTTAAAACGCCCCCAACTCCCTCCAAACACAAAGCCTTGGTATTCAATCTGCAGCGACGGCAACATTCTAACGCTCATATAAATGCTCCACTCCTCGCTGGAGTCAGTTAAGAGTTACCTTGGTGATCAACGTAAGGCTTGAAGGCCTGAAGGATTTTTGGCACAGCTACTCCCATGTCGAGCTCCGTCAGAGTTAGCTCATTCATGAAGTAGGGGAGCTGGAGGACAGAAGGAAACAACCAAGGAGACTCGTTAGGAACCTGGTAAATGCTAGAAGTCAACATACTCTCAAATGGAACAATGGTCAAGGTTTTGGGGACACATTTATTCAACCAAAATTTATTGAGCATACACCACATACTAGGCAGCGTACTACAGACAGAGCCGTGGATGAGAGAGGCAAGGTCCTTGCTCTCGTGGGGCTTATGATGAAGAGGTAGGAACAGACAGATAAGCAGCCAAATAACCTATAACTGCAGAGCGTGACCGGTGCTACAGAGAAGATAAGGTGGGTAACGGGGCAGAGGGAGGCTGAAGCGTCTTGGATAAGGAGGTCAGTGAAGGCTTCCCTGAGGGTGGTGTGTGGCCAGAGACCAGACTGTGGAGAAGGAACGAGCCATGCTGCTCAGGTTAATAATGCCCAGAGTTGGCTGAAGGCTGGGAAAATTGGGCTCTTTTAGACTACTAGTGAGGAGTTAGGAAATCACTACAACATTTCCTGTAGGCCAACTCACAACATGTATTAAAATCCTCGGGAAAAAAAAAAAATCACATCCCTTGACCCTGTGCTGGCTATTTTCCCTTTGCCCCCCTGGGATCGAGCTCCTCACTACACCCCGAGAGGCTGGTCTGCGGGAACCGCATCGATGGACTCTTGCCCTCTCCTCTGGCTTCTGGTCGGGCTTGGCCAGTGGGACACACCAGCGCGCAGGGGGCGGGGAGGTACACGGAGAGGAGAAATGTCAGGCATTTGTCCCGTCCCTCTACTGAAGGCCACAGCTCCTGTCAGACAGGCAGCCCCCTCCACCTAGACACCCTGCCCGAGTGTGGGTTAACCGCTCCCCACCGCTCCAGCCCTGGGGTGCCGCACTATGCCTTTCGGTTTCTCTACATAGACCCACACCTTCACAAATCCTTCCCCAGCTTGCTGCACTGAATGTGCCATCTGTTTTCCGCTGGGACCCCAACTAACACAGCTGTCAGTAGGAATTTACTCTAAATGAACTAACGTAAGAGTGCTGGTATCATGCTTAGAAATTCCTACTTCACCTCAAGAGCCGAGAATTAATTGACCTATGTTTCCTTGACCTGGATTTATGTATATACATTAAAAACAATCTTTAGTCCAGTCCTAATTTTAATGTAAGATGTAAACTAGGAATCCACCTTAATTTTTTTTCCCAGTAGCTAGTCAGGTGTCTTAACCTATCTTTTTCTAACAACCGAATCTTTCCCCACTGACCTGCAAAGCCAACTTTC